ACCTGTCTGAACGTCACCTGTCTGAACGTCACCTGTCTGAACGTCACACGCAGTGACTGCTGGACATGGGCACCAGTGATCCAAAAGGAAGAAGCGGGTAAAGATGATGGATGATGAGTATTAGTAACCAGAAAAAGTGTAGACCAGAATAATTTGAATTATTTTAGTGAATATTTCATCACCAACATCCTGCAGCGTCTAATCAAGGTCATGTGACGGAGGTCAAAGGTCACACGACGGAGGTCAATCATTTCTTTTGAGCTGCACAGTTGAACACTTTGATCAGAAACAGCTGGTTCTCTCTTCAGACGCACAATGTTCTTTGTTGACTCGATTATTTCCTTTAGATTAATTTCAATAAACATAAACAAAAAGATTTTCCTTTGATGTCGCTCGTCGTCTGCTGGGTTTGGTTTTATCTTCTGACGAAGGTTCAGCTCAGGTGAGGTCTTCACAGAAATCAGCACTCCTTAAGCTTTATAACTTCATTAAAGTTTTGGAAGATATAATCCAGGAAATAAAGTCTGAGTTTGTGACGTGACTGATCCAGCGGATGTTTGCAGATTACACAGATCCTCCACAGACAGACTTCAGCATCAGAGGCTCCTTACTGACCGTCACATTATTTTATACCCAAACAAAGAAACAAGTTGAATATCGTGGAAAAGTGCGGGACGGTTCATGATGATACACAAAACAAAGAGTTAGAAACTAAAACAGTTTCAGAAAGAAGAATACGATGAACAAAAAGACACAAAGTGAACACAACAACAACAACATTAGGGTCAACAAGACTCAGATCGACTCCAAATCAACACAAAAACATCAGGAGACAAACAACAACAACTTATATCAACAATGCACAAAAACATCATTTTCACTCGGAGAGACGCAAAATTGACATAAACACAAAATACACAAAACATAAGCAAAAACACACAAAGTGTAACACAAACAGTGAAAAAACAAAGACTCACAACAACAAACAAAGTTTGTTTCTAAACGACCATCAGAAACAAATGAATCGGTTTTGAAGTAAATCAATAAGAATCATTTAGTTTGACGTCATGCAGCTCTTGTTTGTTTGTTTGTTTGTTTGTTTGTTCGCCCCCCCGGTGTCTCCTGAGCCTGACATGGAGATTTTCTGAAGTCGCTCCAGGATCTGAACACGTTTCAGTCGAAGCCGTTTTCTCTTTTGAAGCTTCTGATTTCACACCTGGTTTGTCTGAAGGATAAAAGTTGGGGATGCTGTGGAGGATTACTTGGATCCCTGAAGATCCGGCTGCAGGTCTGACCTCCAGCAGCTCCGATCCGTCCGGCTCTGAATGAAAAACCTTTCAGGAATCTCAACAAGGACCAGAATTCCAGGAATTCCTCCTCAGTTTGTTGATCTCAGGGTTTCAGCTGCGAGGACAGACCGTGTGAACAGCTGAAGTTCACCTGAAGCGTCAGGTGTTTCAGTGAGATGAGCTCAGGTGGTCCACAGCAGCAGCTGCGTCCCAGGGACACAAAGACGTCTCTGTCCACAGCCTTACTGAAAGGACAGGGGACATTCTTCTGCCTGAGACGAGCTGAAGCTGGAAGCTCGGCTCTGAACAAAGAAAAGCTGAATTCATTTAGCTGCTATTAGCCGATGTAAATAATAAATAACAAATCTGTTCGGCTGTTTCTGTTTCCTTTACTGACACGAAAAGTTTCTGAAGAGACAAAAACTTAAAACAATGAGACAAACTGAGTCAACGATCAGAACTGGACTCACTCCAGATCTACACAAACTGAACCATCCATCCATCATCCATCATCCATCCATCCATCATCCATCCATCCATAATCCATCCATCCATCCATCCATCATCCATCCATCCATCATCCATCCATC